CTTTCCTGAGGTCCCACAGCTAGATCCTGAACCAGATCTAGGTGACTCCCAGAGACCTGTTCTTGACCACTCCTAAACTCTGTCTGGCCAGTGGAAGACCTTAGCCTTGAGCCACCTGACCCGGGTACTGTCCCTCCCTAAGCACCAGCCCTGGGCTGACAGCACCCTTTGGATCTAAGGGAGCCTGGTCTCCTGACCCAACAGGGAGGAATCTCACGACTAATGGCCCAGACCTTGTGCTGAAAAGTCATGGGTCTGTGGCCAGAGACCCCACCAGCTGGTTGGGGGGGGGGAGCTGAGCTGCAGAAAACAGAGGAATTTTGCTGGGGCTGGGCAGTCCGCCACATTGCACAAAGGCACACACTAGCGCACCGCCTCAGAGTCACACACTGTGCCTCACCAGCAAACTCTGCCTAAAATCCCATCTCCTGCCGCCCCTCCCATCTGCCTAAAAACACAGAAGGGAGAGAAGCTGCTCCCAGCCCTGAGTCAGCGGGACCACAGCCTGGACCTCTCCCCAGTCACTCCTCTTTGGATCTCCACCGAACTCAGGGTCTCTGAGTTCTCCAAAAGCACAAGACCATAGACACTTTTCCAGGGGCTGTGGGAAGTGACCATGTTACTTATCACACATCCATCTCTTTGCTAGCTAGGAAGGGGCCTGAGCCTTTGACCCACATGGCCTGGGGCCAACCACCCTTGGGGTCTGCAGCGATGCCTCCAGCTCCACCTCCAGAGCTCCCAGGTCTCCTGACCCCGGGCTGCCTCCCTGAATAGCAACTCCCAACCTGGGTCAGGCTGGGAGCGCTCAGGTCCGGTCTGGCTGACTCCCGTTGGATCTGAGTGGCTTTCCAGCAGGGTAGAATCGTGGACTGGGGTAGCTCCTCCTCTGAACTTCCATGCCTCAAGGCTCTGGCCCTGCCCAGGATCCTCGCCTCCAGCACCGGGGCGATGCACCGGCTCCATGCAGGGAGGAGAGGGTCACCAAGCAGTGCCGGTGGCTCCTGGCGAGGCGGGGGTGTGGGGAGGAAGCACGGTCCTAAGGAAAGAAGCAATGGGGAATGGGGAGAGCTCAGTGAAGATGGGACAACCACAAGATTTGGGAAGTCCAGACGCCCACCCTAGGCTTCCCTCTCCGGTTTTGCTTCTTCCCAAGCGATTCCCCACAGAAAACATCTGAAGCTTTTTCTGCCGCTTAAGTCGGAGCCAGAGAGAATCCCGGATCAGCCGGAGCGCCCGCGTCGTGGGTCCGGGGTCGCTGGGGCCAATCGGCGGGTACCGGATCACACGAACTGCTGTCGGGCAGAACAAGGTGCTGTTCGCTGCCCACGGGTTGTATCGGACTCGGGGCCTAGGCCCCGGTTCTACCGTCCAGTCGGCCACTTCTTCAGCGGGGAAGAGGTCTGGAGGTCCGGAGTCGCGCTTGGGTTTGAGAGGCCGGGGGCCTCCGCGCGTCTGTGCGAAGTATCCGGGTCGACAGACCCAGCTGGGGGAACGAGTGACGGGCAGCAGGGACAAAGGGCAAGGAACAGGACCTATACGGTGACCCCAAAAGAGGGGCAGACGAATGGGCAGTGAGCAGGAGGGCGCAGAGAGGGGACTCCGGGTTGTGCACTAAGCAGCCCGCCCCTCCGACCGCAGAGGGCAGCCCCTCGGCAGCCGCGTGGCTCGGAGCCCCATCTTTGGCCCTCCCAATGTCTGCTCCGGTGGTGTGGGCTGTGGCACGGGCAAGGGCTCGGAGTGACCTGCCAAAATTCTGTGCTCCCCAGGACAGACCAGCCACCGGCATCCGAGCCGGACTGCCGCACGTCCTCCGGCGCTGAGACCCAGCCAGCTGGTGGCCCGGAATTGCGACCCTGGACACAGCCGGCGGCCCCCGACTCGGCTCAGGACGCATGGCCCGAGGGTCAGAGAAGTCTAAGAGGCCTGGACACAGGGGCCCCCATTCCGCCAAAAGGGAGAAAAGAAGTGTGGAGAGGAAGAGGCTGGGCATAGGAAGGGGGTCAGTGGGAGACAGGCGGGGGGGAATGGAACGCTGCACTGGGAGTCTGGGGTCTGGGGTCGGTCTGCAGTGTCTGTGACCGGAGAGGATTTCCAAGTGCGCTCTGAAGAAGGCAAGGGTCTGGGCCGGGAACCGGGACCCTCTTGCCTCGTCGCCCGACAGCAGGTGCAGGGACGCAGCGCTACCAGCAGAGGGCAGAATATGCCCGATCGGTCTGCGAGCCCTGGGCCCGGCTCCGCGCCTCCAGGCCGCCCTCTTCTCCAGGCAGCAGCCGGCCCCCGCCCCAGATGCCGGAGTAGGCGGCCCTGGCCCAACCTCGGGAGCCCAAGGCCTGGGGTTTTCTAAGACCGAGGATCAAAGGCGTGTGAGAAAAACTCCACATTCACTCATCCACCCTCCTGGATATAGACACACAAAAAGTAATAAATACCCAGAGACATAGAGCCGTGCACACGTATACTCCCAAACCCCCAAAACTCTGAGACACTCGAGCACATAGAATCATTCAGAAACTCGGAGATACACATAGACACACAAAGATGCCACGACGAAACACATACAGAAAAGGATCCCAGACACAATACAGAGGCTGAAAAAAGACACACAAAGACATATGTGCCCGCAAAGAGTGGTACAGACACAGGGATAAACACAAAGACCTACAAAACCATGGAATATACAGAGGCACGGAAGGGCCCACAGATTCACACACACACACACACACACACACACACACACACACATAAGGATGCAGGGGAATCAGATACACATTCACAGATTCACACTTTTGGGGCCCAGAAAGTCTCAGGGACACAGAAATATTGTATGTGCACGGAAACACGGTGCACACACACGTACGCAAGAGCCTCAGAGTCCGGAGCGTCCACACGCACAGACACACACAGATACAGGTACTGGGGTGGGGCGGGAGGCCCTAATCCTCCACAAAACCGGGCCCCTCCGCGGGGCCCCCGCGGCACAGGGGGCCACTTCTGACCAAGCCTCCCCTAAGCTCCAAATCCGATCCGCCCTCTCGCCTCCAGCGGGGTCAGGGGACCCGCCTCCCATGCCCTCCGCCCTCACCCGGCTCCGCACCGCTGCTCCGCTCCAAGAGGGGCGGGAGCTGGCCCGCCACAGCTCGCGGGGTCAGCCCGCGCCTGCCCCAGGGCCGCATTGCCCCCCACCCCTGCCCCGGAGCGAGCCGCGCCTCCATGGGGACCCAGGGACCAAAGATACAGCCAGTCCCGGCGCAGGGCACTGAGCACGAAACAGTGGCCTGTGCACCAAGCGCAGTGCCAGGCCCGGTGTGCCAGGCCTCGCGGGCGCCTCAGTCAGTCTTGCCGGCCCCTTGCTCCCCGGTGCCGAGGCCCACTTTGCCCAGCCTCTCCATGGCGCTGTCCCTGCCGGCCCCGACCCCTGGCCAGGTCCCTCCACCACCAAAGGTCGCCTATCCCAGCGGCCAGTCAGGTTTCCGTCGAGCGGCGAAATACACATCGTCCCGGACTTTCAGTCCCCGACCTGGGGACACCACTCCCTACCCGTGTTCCTCGCTCCAAATCCTGCGAAGCCAGGTTCTCATTCATTGCCCTCCAACCCTACCCGTGGACCCCCTTTCCCAGACCTAACCGTCCTCTAAACTTTCCGTCGCCTGAACCCCTGCCTCACTCTCCTCTCCGGTCCAATGTCCCCCATTCTTGACCCTGGGGCCCCTCCGCGATCTTCGCTCACCCCTTCACCCAATCTCTGCCACGTCTAAAGCCTTTCCAGACCCCTCACCCCAAATCCGGGGCCCACCCCCTCTCCCTGGGCCAAGGCTCCCTTTGGCAAGTCCTGGGCCAGCAGCCCTCTCCTCCCGCCGGTTCCAGCCCCTCAGTCCCGGCAGCTAGCCCTCTCTTCGGACCAAACCGGCCCCGGGAAGGCGCCGCCGCCCGGGGACTCCAACTCAGCCCGGTGCGACCTACCTCGGCCGACAGTCGGGGTCCCCGGGCGGCCACTCCCGGCCGGCGCCGTCCCCTGGTGGAGCCGCTGCGCTCCCCGCCATCCGCGCAGTCTGGCCTCGTTCAGGGCCACTCCTCTGAGCGCTGGAGCTTTAAAAAATATTAATAATGAAGAAGGCAAGAAAAAAGAAACCCTTCATTCCCCAACTCCCAAATCAATTTTTCAAGGGGGTGGGGCAGAAGGATTTGTTTGGAGGACGACCCAAACTTCTGAGAGGGACTAGCGGGGCGTTCGGCCTGGCTGGGGCTCCCGAGCCCATGCTCGGGGCCAGGCGCCGCGCGGGGAGCAAGCTGGGGGCGTGGGGAGCCCTCCCGCGGCGGGGGGGCGGCGACGGCACTATTTGACGTGGAGCCGCCGGCTCATCCCGGCGCAGGGATACGAAGCGCTCCAATGAGTTCAAATGTCAGGAAGTTTGAGGAGGGGTGAGGCGGCTCCCGGCCGGAGTATCCCTCCGCCGCAAGCCCCAGCTCTAAACCGAGCGGCTCCTTCGGCGCACCATGGCACTGGAGTAGTGCGGGGAGCGCGCCGGGAGCCCCGCGGCCCGCTGCGCCCCGCCCGGGACCCCGCTGCGCCGCCCGCGCCCCCCCCAGCCCGCGGGGCCGCCCCTACACCCCCGCCCCCTCCCCCGCCCGCCGCCGCCGCCGCCACCGCCGCCGCCGCCGCCGCCGTCTCCTCCCCGCGGCTCCGTCTGCCGCTGCGGCCGCAGCCCAGCTCCGGGGCTGACAAGCAGGTGACAGAAGAGCCGGCGCGCGTGGCTGCGAGTGCCCGGGAGAGCGCGGCGCGGACTGCAGCCGCCCCGGCCCGCCAGCACGACGCCGGGGCCCGGGGCCAGCGTGTCGCCGCTGCACGCTCGCCGGGGGCAACCCGCGGCCCCAGCCGCAGCCCCAACCCCGCGGGAGCCGCGCCTCCCCGGCTCCGGGGACGCGGCGGCGGCGAGCGGGCAGGCGGGCGGGTGGGCGAGCACCCTGGCTGGCGGGGCCCGCAGCACGCCCCGCGTCCCATGGATATAGCAACAGGTCCCGAGTCTCTGGAGAGGTGCTTCCCCCGCGGGCAGACGGACTGCGCCAAGATGTTGGACGGCATCAAGATGGAGGAGCACGCCCTGCGCCCCGGACCCGCCACTCTGGGGGTGCTGCTGGGTGAGTGCGGGGTCGGAACGCCGGAATGGTCACGGGCAGGAGACAGGGGCCTCGTCCCGAGGTGGAAACAGGCGTCTAGGCCAACTGATAAAGGAAATGGTTTGCAGGACATGGGGGTGTGGGGGAACACAGAAAACTCCAGGAGTGATCACCAGAGGGGCAACAAGCTAGACAGGCATCCTGCGGGGACAGAGGTATGCAGGGACATCTCCTAGGAGGGAGGACAGGACAGCTCCAGCCTCCACCCACCCACCCCCATCTTCATCTGGCCTCGGATCTAGAGATGCCACTCTGGGCGGGAGGTAGGAGGTGGGTGGCAGGGGTGATGGAGGACCCAAGTAGTCACCTTGGCAAGCTTGAAAGTAGTGCCAGGTCACTTGGGGAGGGGGAGCTTCTAAAAGAAAAGTGTCCCCCGAGTCCTCCAAATCACAGATTTGGGGAGATTGGGGACAGAAGACCACGAATGCCACTGTGGGGCATTTCAGCCAGCGAGCACCCCAGCCTCACCTCGTCTGTCTCGGTCCCAGCCGGCTACCCCGCGCGGTGCTCGTTCTGATACGTATTAATACCAAGCGCTGGATCTCGGGAGAAGGGGAGAGCTCAGCGCCGAGCCAAGGCTCGAGGCCCGCGGACTCTCCGCGCCGGAGTCCGCAGACTAGAACGAACTAGCTGAGGCTGCCCGGCCCTTGGCGCGGCGGCCAGGGGAGCGCAGGCGGCGGGCAACGCTCCCGGGCTGCCCTCGCCCTTGGAGCCGGGGCTGCGGGTACCAAGCGGCCGGGACGCCGGGGCCCGGCTGGTCGGCGCTGACGGCCCGGCTCTCGTCCTGTGCGCTGCAGGCTCCGACTGCCCGCATCCCGCCGTTTGCGAGGGCTGCCAGCGGCCCATCTCCGACCGCTTCCTGATGCGAGTCAACGAGTCGTCCTGGCACGAGGAGTGTTTGCAGTGCGCGGCGTGTCAGCAAGCCCTCACCACCAGCTGCTACTTCCGGGATCGGAAACTGTACTGCAAACAAGACTACCAACAGTAAGCGCCTCTCGTCCTCCTCCTTCCCCGCCGCCGCCCGGCACTCGAGTCTGGCCGCCCCCCTGCCAGGCCGGCCCGCGTCCACCCTGCGCCGGCTCTGTGCGCTGCTGGGCCCGTCAGCTCCGAGGGCTCTGTGGGCTGCGCGTCTCCGGCAGGGGCGAACCATCCCTGCCGGGCCGACATTGGTGGGGTGGCCGGGAGCCTCGGGCAGCTCCTAGTTGCTGTCCTTTGTCCGGAAAACCTGCTCTGGGCCGCTGAGCTGGGGTGCAGGACAAGGCCCTGGGCCGACTGGGGTATAGATGCCGGCGGTCCTAGGAGGCCTGAATTGGGGACCAGGAATCAAGTTCCAAACGAAAGCAGTGCTTTAGGGAGTCAGGCCCTGGTGGTGTGCTTCTTCAGCCCAAAGCAGGGTCTGTGGAGATTTGGGATTCCTGGAGCAAAGAGATGGAGTGCAGGGATGCTGAACTGCCTGAGCAGCCCCCATATCCCCTCGCTGCCAGCCACCGCGCTGCATTTTTAGTCCCTGTTGGAGAGAAAAGGATGTCCATCTTCCCCAAAACCGTGCCATGCGGGAATTTTGCACTTACAGTTTTCGTTGGCTGGAGGTGTCTAGGAAGAGGACCTCAAGAGGTGGCGGACTACAATCTGGGGCTCCCCATGAGGCTGGGGAACTGACAGAATGAGACTCCCCAGTAGGCTTTCTTTTTTGCAACGTGTAAGTTTTGGGGAGGGTGGCCTGCTCTGCCCTGGTGTAGCTCAAGCCTCAGGGTTGAGGCCAGAGGCTGTAGGTTGAGCTCTACCTGCTGACTTTTGTTTTTAGCTGAGTCTGGATTTGTCTGGCAAGGGGCTTGGGACAGATAAGAGTAGATACGGCCTTTTTTTCTTTCTTTCTTTCGTCTGGGTTTTGTGCCTGGCAGTATGATTGAGAGAGAAGCAAAGAGATGCAACAGCCCAAAGAGGGGTGTGGGGATCCCCAGGGCAGAATTTCGGAGGCAAGTGGGTGCCTGCGACAACTTTCTAGTGAGGCCTGGAAAACTCTTTCAGATGGGGCTGAGGGTGGGTAGGCTGCTCAGGTGGTTTGGGGCTCAGAGGAGACTGTGTGTACCCACGCCTCTGGGAAAAGGCTGGGCTGCCGGTGCCTGGTGGTCAGTGCAGCCTACCTGCTCTGCCCAGGGACTGTCTCTAAATGCAGGCCCTGATGAAAATTGGAGCAGCTAGCCTGCCCATCCAACTGCTTGGCTGAAGCCTGAGCCCTCAAGAGGGCATCGGGTTCTACTCTGAAAGGCTCTGGCTGAGGCTCCTACTAGGGCCTAATCTGGCTGTGCTTCCCTGGTCTGGGGGCCTAGCAAGAGCTGCTTTCTGTGCCTTGCTTTTCTTGCCGGCTGGGGGCTCTGCGGGCAGGAGCTGGGGCCAGATTCAGAGAGTCAGCTCTTTCACTGGTCCCAGAGCCCAGCTGAGGCCTCCCACTCTGACTGGAGCACCCCCGATTAGCCACACTGCCGTCGATCCTTTTGCACTGTTCCCTGGACCGATGGGATTCTAGTTCCAGCAGAAGATGAGGCCACCAGTCAGCTCAGCCACAGACAGCACAAATAAAATGGGGAAAGTGGTTTGGGGTAAATGTGGTTGGTGGCTTTGGGCCGGCCTGGGAGCAGCCCCTCGGCAGGGCTCACCAGCTTCCAGCCCACCCACGTCCTGCAGCCCTCACGAGCTCTCCCTGCCCAACCCGAGCTAGGCTCTGGCAGTGCCACTGCCCACTCAGGTCAGCCACCGGCCTGGACGCATCAACACGTGGGGGCAGGAGGCTCAGGAAACTGAATGGGCGTCCGAATCATTTGTGCAGGTTTTTGAAACTTTTTTTTACCTATCGGAAAGGCTCTTTCTGACCTCTTGTACAAATCTGCTCATTCCACCCCCCACTCTCACCCTCCAATTATTTGTGAAGCTCCTTCCTACAGCAAGGAGAGAGGATACCCTTGGTTCTTCAGAGCACAGAACTGTGGTCACGAAATCTGAACTGGATGTTAGAGCTGAGGGACCAACCCCCTCATTTTACAAAACAATTAAACATTTGCGATTGCTTTGTCAAAAGTATATTTGTTTTTAAAAGAAAAAAAGGCCCCTAAGAGCTTTTTCTTCTTCAGTGCAATAGGGGTGTATGCAAGTCAATTTTGGAATAAGGCGAATTTCGGTCCCGAGTCTGGCTCCAGCAGGGCTGCAGCCTCCGGGTGGGCAGAATTCACACCCCTCAAGGTGCCCCCCTCCTCCCTCGCCCCCTCTTTCTTCCAGTAACACCAATTAGGTATCTGCACTAGGTGGGCCGGTTATCAAGACAATCCTGGGGACAAACCCCGGGTGCGGATCCGCAGCCCTTCTCAGGGAGAGCCAGCGCAGCCAGGCCAGGAGGGACTCACTGGGAAGCAATGTTCTTTTCACAATAAAAATATATTTCACGATTTATTTTTTTCTTTGAGGATCGCAGAGGCATATTTATTGCATCTGTGCATAAATGCTTTCAGACGAGAATCCAGGCAAGTGGGCACAGAAACGTGCCTTCTCGATTTTGTCTTGTCTGTGCGTCAGCAGTATTGGGAAATTAACAACCCCCCAGCCCTGTAACTTTTGAAAAACGCGTCCTCCCCTCTAGGAGCCGCGGGACTCGGTTCTTAGACAGAGCTGGTTATTTTCCTTCAGCCCTTTTCTCCAGCTCGACTTGTTTTCAAGGATTCTGGACACCCAGAAGCGCAGCATTATTTTACGCACCACGGGGGTAATTAATTGACATTCGGACGAATCTGATAGCATTTGATACAAATCCACTAGCACGCCCTGCACACGCAAAACAGAGTGGGGGCCATGGCATTTGGCATTTTCACGCATAACTCAAAAGTCTCCCTTTTTTCCTACGTGTTTTTTTCTTGGGGGGGGTGGTGGTGAGAGGGCATCCTTCTAAGGAAAGAATCCCAAAGCATCGGATGGTTCTCCTGTGCCCGAGGCTCTGGTCGCTCGGCTCGTGCTCCTCAGACAGAAACTCCGGCTAGAAACCGGGGAGGAGATGCGGCCTCCAAATGCGAAATCACGAACACCCCTCTCCCTCCTCCACCGAGAACGCATGAAAAAATGACAACAAACCCCCCCCCCCCGGCATTTTTTTTCTTGGCGGCTTGGCGAAACAGAATTATGTAACTCTTTTCTTGCCGTCTGTCGCTCGTCTGGAAAGGGTTTCTGTCCTGAGGAGGTGGCGCGAATTCCTGGAGGAGGCTCCGGAAAGGGGGAGGGTTGGCAGGAGAGTCCAAAAATCTGTCACAAAATGGAGTCTAATCGCTTGTAAGACAGCTCCCAGGTCTGGCGACCTGAGACTCGTCTGCGTTCGAGCAGGAAGATGCGGGGCTGCCACCCAGGCCAGGCACCCACCTCGGCCTCCTGGGCTGGGCGCCCTTGCCTCTCCGCCGCAGTCACAGGGCCCTGCTGAGCTGGCGAAGGTCCCTCTGGGCTCACTTGCCCAGGTAGGATGCACCATCCTCGGCAGGAGGGGGCAGTGGGGTTTTGATTGAGTTTCACAAAAAGCTGTCTGAGTCCCGGGGTGATTTTTTTTTTTTAATTTACCCCAGCTGGCTGCATGAAACTCCAGTGGCCCAACCCCACTCTTCCCAGCACATTCCTTTCCTTGGAAGTGTTTACACCGGGAAAGGCTTTCCTGGGAGGCTCACCTCCCCTTGGAGTACCAGCAGCGGCAGAGCCTGGGTGTGGTACAGGGAAGGAGCAAAGTCGGCCGGTCTTTTCTGGCTGCTGCATCTCCCAGCTTGGAAGGCCTCCCATAGGCCTTGCTGCAAGGTGCTAGTTACCAGCAGGACCCCCTCCACGAGTGGGTACTCCGGCTGGCATAGTCCCCCGGACTCATTCAGGGCTGCAGACACCCCTGCCCCTAGCCTGGGGTAAGGGCCTGTCCTGGAAATGGATCTCCTTGAAAGGAAGGGCCAGCGCTTGGCCTTACGAAAAGGCCTCCGTAGTGCTCTCCTTGGGGATCTGAAGGCTGAAGGGCTCGCTCTGCCAGCCCAAAGCCTGGGGATCCTCTGGCCCCTGGGAGGGCACCTCTCCATTTAACCCCAGCACCTTGGCTGCAGGCGAAAGGGTAAGCAAAGGCTTTCCTGAGGTTGGAGTCATCCGCTGCTGAACGGAGGCATTATTCACAGCTGACTCCTGGCTCACCCTGTATTCCCCAGGCTCTGGGCTCGGGGAGCCTAATTTGTTTGCCGCTTTTCTCGAGTGGAGGGGAAGCAGGCTGTGAGGGTCTCCTCTGGGGTACGTGATTGGTGACCCTCAGCCCCCTCCCTTTCTGTCCACTGGAGCCAAGCTAAGGACCTCACTGCCCTGGCACCTACCGGAGCCTCTTCTATGAAATGGGGAGGTGCCCACCTGGAGGCAAGAATTCTTGTAAGGATTCGAGATGATGTGCCCCAAAGGACCTGGCATCCTGTGGAATAGAAATGACTGTTGTTACGATTATCACCATCACCATGGCAAGGAATACCTTGTCACACCAAACTGCCCACGGGTTCCATGTCAGAGAGCAGTGCAGCTGGAATGCCGGCTCCCAGAGCCTCTCTAAGCAGGGAAGGGGGGATGGGGTGCAACCCTGGGAAAACCAGTCCCTTTGCCTGGGACATGGAGGATTCTGCTTCCCTCGGTGATGAAAAGAGCATTAGACTCTGAGGCAGACCTGGATTCACCTCCCAGCCTCAGCACTCAGCAGCTGTGTGATCTTAGCCAGGTGGCTGCCCATCTCTGAGCCCTGGGTTCTCCATCAGCAAACGAGGGGCGAGGGTGTCATATCCTAGGGAGTTGTGAGAATTACACAGAACACCCTGGGGGGCTTCAGTAACTGTTCTGTATTCCATGGGATCCAGTATCCTCTCCAGAGAGGCAGGAAAACATCTGATTGTAAGGGTGAGAACAAATGCCAACTGTGCGCTCTCAGGAAGGGCAGACAGTGGGGTGGG